CTGACTATGTACCAACACAGCCAAATCTCAAATGACTGCTTGCCATGAAATAAAACTTGATAGCCATCATGCATACCAGCTGAATAAATTTTTACCTTCAGGAATTTTTCTTAACCCTATCACCAGAGTGCTATTTTAATCCCTCTTATCTGTTTAAGGCATGCAAAATCATACTTGTGTTTACTCTGTTTCAGTTACTCACAACAGATTCAGCATCCAGTCATTACATGAAACTTAAATATTCATACCAGCTCACAGGTACAGACAATCACATTCACCCACAATAATAACAATGATTGTGCAAAACACTAGGATAGGTTAATGACTCATTTCCTTCTGAGAAATTCCCAGTGTGATGGATGACACAATCCTATGTTTTCTCCAAATACCCCTCTTCCATGGTTGAGTACTTTTTCAAAATGCATCCAACTCTAATTAAACTGTGCTGTTCTGGACCAGCTGTTTCTCTCTAAGTAGAACATGCTATTTTACCAGAATTCCCTAATTAAAATTGAGGAGAAAATTTAATAGGCTAGAATACTTGTCCTACTTAAGACCCAGTGAAATTCACTTAACTTCAGGACAAAACTGAGAATATGCACAAATATGCATAACGTTGTCTTAAAATGGCTTTCATACAGAGCCAGGCTGTGCACTGCCAACACACCTTGAACAACCTGAACAGCTCCACACAGGAACTTTTAGGGTAGCATGGAATTTTCCCCATTTAGATGAAGGCACAGACAAAGCAGTGGGTGAACAGTAATTTTTTTTTCAAAAATCACAGTTATAAGGCTTGCTCCAGGAACTTCAAGGAAATCATATCTAGGCTCTTGGCAAACCTGACCATCATCTTGACCATACTTGCACCTGCCATTATATGACACATGACTGCTCTTCATTGGCACTCACCAGCATACAGACAGCTGGCAAAATAACCCAAAAATAACAAGGAGTTTTTCTACTATTATCTCAGGGTGCACCTTTCTTTGGGGTCCATGAAGAGATAATTTTTAAAAGTTGATCAAGAAAACTGGTCTATTGCTGTTTAGATTAGTTCCATTTCCTAACAAAAACGGATGAAGGAAGGCAGAATGAGAGGTGGAGACAGACAGAGATTATCCACTGAAAATGAATTATCTAAAATTTGGAAAGCTATCACTGGTAAGTGCAATATGGCCTAGATGTAAAAATGCCCAATTCTTCTGGTTGCCTAGCTACATCACAACCTTCCATCTAACTGTAATTAGTAGATTTTCTACTCTACAGAAACAGTAAAAAGTACACCATCTCTCCAAACATTAATGAAATTTCAGATTTCAGCCCCTAGCTAGGAAGAATAATTTTATTTGTTCTTGTAATTAAGGTAGAATATGGGCACCTTACTAGTTTTACATAAATCCCTTCTGACTAACTCTTAGAAGGCTTTTACATGGTCTTGTAATGGGTAAATTTACACATTTTTATCCCTGTTCAGAACTGGAAATTAGTTTTCTGACTATTAGCTTAGGAAATCAAAATTAATTAAAATTTAATGTAAATGTAATTCCTTCAATTAGATAATGGGTTTTATTTTTCAGTTGGGTCTTCTCTTTCAGTTTCTCAGAAAGTACTCAGGCTACAAAATCTTCCTCTAACAGATTTCTTTGGCTCCACATGCTTTGTCTGTTCCATTCTTTCTGAAATATTATTAGCAGAACTTACTTGCATATTGGAAGAATCCTGTATTTTTATAAACTTCAATGACCAAGAGCTATGCTGTGACTAAAATTCCTTATGTAAGTAAAACCACCATAGTTCCTTGTTTCTGAATCCATTAGAAACATGCAAGATGTGGACAAAGAAAGCAAGTAATAAGAATTGGGCTGAGGCCCTTCTGAAATTAGATTATTAGGAATCTTAACAACTAATCACAAAAATCATCCATTAAGAATGAGGTCTCTTGTGTAGCACAGGCAGCCTCACATTTTATTTAGAAAAATCTGAAGATTTCACTCCAATTAGAAATACTACAGATGGCATACATACATTAGTCTATGCTAACACAAACCCACACTATTTATTTATTTATTGTATTTCACTTCCTACTGGCCTGTCACTTGCAAAGCTGTGTGGTCTGTATAACTCATGGTTGCCTATAATCAAAGAGGAAAAAATGGAGGATGTCTCCACCAATCTAGAGATAATATCTCCCATGACATGAAAGTAATGGCTAGAAAATCCATTAAAGCAATTTTTAAAAGTCAAAGGGTAGATTTTATGTGTGGACATTCATACAAAATTTCCAATATTATCAAGGAATCAGAAAATTATTAATTATGCTACTACACAATTGCAATGTGATACCATTAAAACTTACTATTTTGTATACTGTGTTTCAGCATAAAAGACAGAAGTACTACACTTAATGCTTACAAAGCATGTTTTGTCCTCACAAAGCTCTAAAAGCAATAATTAAATCTCATAATGTGTCTAATGTATCACAAATTATAGCTCTAAGTTTTTAGCTTAGTTCCTTACCCAAACCTCTCACTCCTAAAAGCCTTCTTTCCCATAAAAAAGATTGCAGACCTGCACATATTCTTGAACATGCACTTCTAAATGTGAGAGAAGTTCCTTGGTTTGAACTCATGCTGTTGTTCATCAGCACTGTCAGCTCAGCTGCTTTCACCTGCAAATATCATGATAATATGCAAAAGGTACACTTCTTGGTTGGGGAAAATAGGAGGCCTCTGCCTTGTTTCCTCCCAACTTTTTTTTGCCCAGAATTCATACATTTGTTTTTACAACAGTCCAACATTAAAAAGGAAAAAAAAAAAAAAAAACAAAAACCCACAACACCTTCTACATTTCTGCATGTGATATAAATGCTACACTTTTATTTCAAGAAATTCAGGATATACCAGAAAGTTTATCCTTGCAAGCAGTAATAGGTGGTAATAATAAAAAAAATTAGATCTGTGAAAAAGCTTTTACATTAGAATGTAAGGTAAAGGGACAGCAAGTTTGTTTCAGTGGATGGCACAAAGAGGGAATTTTAAATACAAAATCTCATCTTCCTATTAATACAGCATATTATTCTAGAGGAATCTATTCCATGTACTTTTGAATTTTTACTTTTAACCACTCTCAACTTAGATAATAAGTAGAATCATTAGTATTACTCCTGTTTGACAGTCAGGTTTGTTTGTTTATTTCTAGTTGTCTCTGGCAGAATGACATGGTAATGAATAATGTAAAAAGTAGAGAGGAAATTTAAAAAAATAATTAAGCTTATTATTATGTTACCATCATACTATCAGCTACTGATAAGAAATATTATCTGAATATTTCCTATCAATTGGTATCAATTTGGCATCTTATCTAAAGTAATTGATACCAAAACAAGGTTTTTCAGCAATATGCTGTATTTATTCCTAAAGTTTCCTCCAAGTTGCTGCTGCTTCTTATAAGTCACTTTCTGAGACACAGGAAACAGGGATTACATCTGGGGCCAGTGCATTTTTTAAAATTATGTTAATTGTCCAAAATGAGTGCTGGAAATGAAACAGTTCCAGAACAGACAGAAGACTAAAACCCATTCTTCTTTGATGTACTTTATACAGATTATATATGAAAAAACTTGTTAACAAGTGAAGCAAGATAGCCAGAAACAGCTGATGTACTGAGTAGGAACATAGTTTCTGAAAGTTTGAAGAATCAGAGTTTTCTATGGACTCAGCAGACACCAACAAAAAAACCACTTATCTTTTTATGACTTTTCTAACTCAGTATACAGTAATACTGCAAAGCCATTCAAGTGCAACCATTTACAGTACAGTATAGGTTTATCTAAGCTTCCATTAACAAAATCAAGAAAAAAAATCCTTTCCTCTTCATTCACAACTCCATGAGCATATTTATTTTACATCCATAGTGCTAAAAGTTATTTCACTCACAAACATATCTTTAATTACAATTCTCCTTTTTTCATTGCTGAAAGTGGTTGAGACTCATTTCTAAACCCAGGATATATTTTGCAGGATTAAAGAACAATCCACTAAATTACTGTGGGTCTTTAACACTTCCCCAGTACTTATTTTAAGAGCACTGGCCTGGGTTAGGAAAAAACATCATCTAAACTGAAGACTGCAATTGTGTCTGCAATTATAAGACAGTAAAATTTTTTAAAAAATCAAAATCAAGGCAAACAATAAAATATAATCAGACGTAACATTGCCTATTACTATGTGATGGAAACGCTGTATTAATAGAAAATTCACTAGCCTCAGAAAACAGTTGCTTTTGATAGATAAATACTGAAATACTTACATCAATTACAGCCTTGCAAGCACAGATGCCACACTTTAATATTTGAGGCATTTTGAGAAAAACTTTGCATGCACATATCAGAGACTAAGACACTGTTAGCTTTTATAGCCTTGTTACAATAGCAGCTGAAAATCAAAGCCACACCCAATTATTTTTGCTGATGCATCATGAAGCAAATGACTCAGGATTTCTCCAATAAAGACAGGGGCTTCCCTCACCCATGTTCTTTACTATAACACAATTTGCCACTTAGTAGCTAATTAAACAGATTAACCTTATAAGTAGCATTTAATGACATCGGACAAAGGCTTAAAGAGCTCCTCCTAAAATACAGATGTTGTTCAAAGCTGAGGTTTCCAGTATGTCAAAAATACTGTGGGAGCTTAAGCCACCTCCAAAACAACTACAATTATGAATTATCAGTTTAAAACCCCAAAAGATGAAACATTTCTACCAGAATGACAGCAAAGGCTAAGGTATGCTGAACAGGTGGCTAAACTCAGAACAAATTACCAATACTGAAACCTTCCCCTCTCTCCAAAGAGATGTGAAAAAGTTGAGCTAACACTCACAGACAGCGCGATCTTCGTCTCCTGGAAGAGCGTGTTCCATTTTTCTCTTTGGTACTGCTCCCAGGCACCTGACAGAGTGTCGCCCACCTCCCCGTTTCTCTCTGCTTGTCCCTCCAGGATGATCCGAGATGAGGATGAGAAGAAGCTGTCACTGTAACTGCACCTGTGGCCCTGCACAGAGGCATTTTCCTCCCAGCATCAGCGGATGCAGTTTGAAACTTCCCAGGATCATGCGATTTCTCCTGACTAATGTGGCTTTCTAATTGGGAGGAGGGAGACAAAGATGACAGATTGCTAAAGGCTTTTAAAAAGATGCTGCTTGAAAGAATTATTGCCCATTGATCTCATATTCAGCCATTAATAAGACTTTCCAAGCAATGGTGTTTAAAAGCCTTGGTCATATTCTCCTGGCTGGTAACCACCTCCTCCTGAGCAGCGGCTGACAGAGAGCCAGGCGCTGCTGACACGGCTGCTATCAGACAATGACTTCAAGGCAGCCAGAGAGTCATTTAGATTTCTTATTCTGCTTTCACTGCCACAGCAGCACAGACCTTGGCTTCTCCAGCACTACTGTATCATCTGCTTTACAAGCAGGCTCTGAGAACTACTTTAAAGCCATTAATCTGTTACTGTTCCCAGATATTTTTTGATGCACAATATTTTGGCCAGTGGCAGGACTCGGCATGGCGGGGTGGCATGGGGCTGGGTCAGGGGCAGTTTGGGTTGGGTATCAGGAGAGAAGTTTTCACCTTAGGGGTGGCTGAGTACTGGAGCAGGCTCCTTGGGAAGGGGGCCATGTCAACAGACCTGTCTGAGTTCAGGAAGCATTTGGAAAATACTCTCAGGACTGTGATGTGGCTATTGGGGTGTCCTGCATGGGGCCTGCAGTTGGTCTTGATGACTCAGTTGGGTCCCTTCCAACTCAGCATATTCTGGGATTCCATTGTATGTACCTATTTTGTATGGACTCGTGTCCTCAAGAGTTTGGGAAGTTTTACAGCCTGTGTATATTTCTGTATCACTGCATCTCTGACATGGGAATTCTCTTTCCTTTGCATTTTACAGCAGGTGGCTGCACATCACTGCCATCGTGGAAAAGCTTTAGAAAAAAACATTACATACTAGACAAAGCACTGAAATTCACTGTGAGCTCTGCACTGTTTACCCATCAAAAGTGGACCTGCAAATGCAGGTGAAAAGCTGAGCAGGTTCTTTCTGACAGAGATGAAAAATACTGGAAAAACTGCAAGTAAAAGTGGTAAACGTTACTTTCCCTGAAGGACAAGATAAGAAGCCAGCCGGCTCTGCACCTGGAGTTTTGGGTGAGAAGTCACTCATCAGACTAGGCTGATGATACAGTAAGGCTGCTTTGCTTTACACCAGTCACTAACTCACAGATTTACTCCTTCATTTATATTCAAAACTCAATTAATGAAACTAATGCACCCAACTGATAAACTAGTGAAATATTTCTGATACATTTTTGAAACCTCTTTAAAACATTAGCTCCAAATAATCAACTTATCTACCACAGATCATGTTAATTCTTACTCCTAACGACACACAGTAAAACATCTTTACTGAAAAGAAAGGCAATCAAGAAACAAAAGGCAGTCACATTAAGAAGATGAAAAGAAAACTACACTGAGCAATTCTTTCTATTCCAGTGTTTCAAGAAAGTTGATTCATGACTTGAAGTTGTAAGAGGAGTACTGCAGTATTAACCCTCTGTACATGACTCCAGAGCAACAAATACAGAGGAGGATTAAAAAACAGACCTCAAAATTTACTCTGAATCATTGTGTACATTCATCTTAAAATTTTCGGTTAAAAATAGTAATGGCAATATAGATTTACAGACTCTATGGTCCATATAATACTTTAATCTATTTCTTCTGATATCCAGAAATGCTTGATGAGTTGTCTTGGCCTCTGCAACAACCAGACTGTTCTTCACATAGTTTTAAGCTTGCACTTTATTTTCTCTGTGGTATCACCTGCCCCCAGTCATGTGATGAAAAGGAGCACAGTCTGTCCTTCCCTTCAACTGAGCAAACCGCTGAGAAGCAAAATATGTGAAACAGTCCATCCATCACCAGCCCCAGTGCCTGTAGAGCACACTGCAATCCTCAGCAGAGCCATCTCCCCAGGCTGCATTCACATGGTCAATTGAACCTGCCATTACCCGTGGCTGCAGCTGAAAGCTGCAGTACCACTTTAGAACACTGATGTTCTAATTTATGCAGCTGAGTAGTGAGATGGAGCAAGGAAACAATCTGATAGGAAAAAAACTAGGATGCTTTTTTTTCCTTAGCCTGATTAGTTTGTCTCATCAGTCTCCTGAGCCACTGTGCAGCATCACCCACAAATCCGGGTGCCTGCACAAAGAGGATATGAATAAACTGCAAAAGAGGAGTGAAGCCCAAACACTTCTTCTGCCAACAGCCCACACCTCCAAGCAGACAAAGCACAGTCCCAGAACCAGTTCATTAGAATGACAAGTGAACTGTGACTTTGACAGAGCCACGTATTTAGAACTGGCTTTATTGTATGCATACATAAAAAATAAGATTCCTACATCTTTAGTTCACCCAATATTCAGTGAGAAAAATCCTACTAACAGAGCATTACTGACAGTACTGTTGAAGGTATGTGAATGCTGGTTTTCAGACACGTTTCTGATACATTTCCGACAGTCATGTCCCGGAGCCTTAGCAGAGGCCTGTTGGTTAGGGCATGCAGCTGTTAACTACAGTATCATGGCATCAAAGCCCATCTGCCTAGGGAATTGGGAGGTCCTAGCTTAATTGAAGCACCTGAGTTGCATTTAGGGGATGCAGGGTAATAGCCTGTGGACTTTACCAGGAACTAAGAGGGTTTAACTCTTGTTTGAGGCTTTGAAGGCCTTTGGTTTAGGTAATCCTAAATTTCTTAGATGATGGTGAGGATTATGGGGGAGATAGGAAGGAGGCTTCTTTTTCCTAATGTGTGCTTGAGACGTTATTTTTTTAGAATACAGCATTATAAGTCTGATGCTTGACAAAAAAAACATTATTTTGCAAGTCCTAAAGTTTTCAGCTTTTTGAATGAAAGTGACTTAAAAGTCTCATCACAACAAGAAGTTTCTTGTAGGGGGATAGAATATAAGGAAATAAAGATAGTGTAGAAAATAATTTTACCCCTAAGGAGTTGCAGCTGGGCCAATTATCAAAGATTAGGAACAGGCCTGACTTTAACAGGTCACAGCTGTAACCAATGAGAAGAAGATGCTATAAAAGAGTGGGGTGGCTGGTTGAGAATGGAATTGAGTCAGTTTGCTACTTTGTGAAGAAGAGTCAGTGCTTGGAGGAGCTCCCCATGAGAAACCACCAAGAAGGTATGAAATTTTTGCAATAAGGAGAGAACAGTATGGAACCCCTGCAATAAGATGACAACAGTTTCTGAGGTTAGATTCCTTGTTTTTTGTTTAGTTTTTTAAACAAAATTATTTTAGAACAGTTTATTTAGGGGAAAAAAAAATTGTGAAAACACGTGACTGAGTGTTTTGATAAAAGCTCAACTTTTTAAACGTATGGTTTACAAGAGTTCAGATAAGGACTTGAACATTTAGTGATGTACCAATACTCTAAGAAACACCATATTTTAGACATGTTTTACTATTGTAGGCATGTAGGAAATGTATTAGCTAAAGGCTGTTCTGTATGTAGTGTATCATGCTGGGAAATGGTGGTGCTTCTCCCTAGCATCTCTTTCCAATCTTACAGAAATCTGTGGATCAGAACATTACATGCAGGCAGCACCTTGGTTTGATGCCTAAATAAGTAGTGATTTATAAAGTATTGTTCAGTCTGGGACTTCTACTGGGCCAAACAACCCCAAATTTAAAAGTCTGGAGTTACAGTAATGATAAGATCCTCTAGAGCTAGAATAAAACATTAGATTCCACAGTGATACAACCATCATGACACACAGCCAGCTATTCTGTAACATGTAATTTCTACTAGTACTGAAATAGCTGATGAATAGCAATATTAAGTAAATAATATGGGCAGAATTGGTTGTAGGAATGGCACAAGACTCATGAATGAACTAAAACAATGTCTCAAGTGAGAAAATATTTCTTTCCTAATTAAAAATTTTAAAAATGGAAATTTTATGCTAATGAAATTCAGTATTGCACAATTGTACATGTACATCATTCTGACATAAAGGCTTGTATTTCAAACACTATATATGCAAAAGCCCTTAAAAATCTAAGGGAGTGTGAGTTTGATATTGTGTCAAAATCATATATTTGTGCAGCCTGAGTAACTTTCTTGTAAATACACAGAATTAAATCAGAAAATAAAGTCACCTATAACTCCTCTACCAGAACTGCTCTGACACAGCAAGGATCACTTTCTGGGATTTCAGGGGTGTCTGGGTGAAACTGAGGAAGGAGCTGGGACCGGTGCGCCTGGAGAAACCTCCGGGTGGGTCTCGTATCCAAAGAAAGAGTGCAAAGGGGAGAGAAATGGGCACTGTTCAGTGGTGCCCAGTAATGGCACCAGAGGCAATGGGCACAAACTGAAACACATGAGGTTCCCTTTGAACATCAAGACATTTTTTTGGTGTGAGAGTGACTGAGTATTGGCACTGGTTGCCCAGAGAGATTGTGAGATCTTTCTCTATCTGTGAAGATGCCCATCTGACCATGGTCCTGGGCTACTGATTCTACATGACCCTACTTGAGCAAGGTAGACCAGGTGATCTCCAGAGCTGCCTTTCAATCTCAAACATTCTGTGGTTCTGTGAGCACAGCTTGAATATCTGTCCAAAGGTAAAAAAAAAAATAAACCAAACAAGCTTGCACTCATTAAAATATAGGACAAATTGCACAGCTGAAAACAGGAATTGGAAGCTGAAAATGCAGTATTTGGATCACCTTCATCCCAGTGTTCTGAAAGAATGGGCACAGGAGATAAAAGATGGAGCAGAAAGTATTTTTAATAATCTATAAACTCAAAAGCAGAAAAAATTCCAAGCATAGTGCCTATATTTAAAAGGAGAAAAAGCAATCAAGAATATGTCAGGTCTATGAATTTGATCAAAAGCCAGTGTGTTACTGAGAATAATTATTCTTTCTTGCAAAATTCAAAGACAAAGAAGAAAACAAATGATCATCAAAGAAGATATCACACTGGTTCACCAGAGGTAGATTGTACCCAACTCACTTGACATCTTTCTTCGATAAGACAGCTAATTTTTAGATAAAGGAAATGCAGGAAGTTTATGTCAACTTTTTACACTATTCTGTATGGTTATGGACTTTTGATATTGTGCCATATCAGTTAGATAAAAAAGATGAGAAAGGAACCAAGTATGTTGATGGCAGAGATAACAGTGGTCTACACTGAACGGAAAGCCATTGGATCAGAAGGTTACTAATGGAGTTCATGAGGGATGAGTCTTTGGTCAATGCTTTTGCATTTTTAAAAGCTTTGATATTTGCCATAATTAAACTTATATCAAAACCCTTGCTAATAACATTTTCTGATAAGACCAAGGAGCATCATATATGCAGAAAAGGATTGAAACATAATAGAAAAAGAATGGGAAGGCCTTAAGTGGGTATTGATAATGGCATGCAATTTAAGAACAGACAACAGCAGAGGTGTAAAGTCTCCAATTACATGGAAGCTGTTGATAAAATCAAGGACACATACGAGCAGTTACCCTGTCATCCTATATGAGTTAAACTCTACTCTCAGAAACCAGCACCAGGACAAGAGGGCACAGCCTCAGGCTGCACCAGGGGAGGTTCAGGTTGGATACCAGGAGAAATTCGTTAACACAAAGAGGACTTAAGCACTACTACAGGTAGGTGGTGGAGTCGCTGTTTGTGGAGGTGTTCAAGAAACAACTGGCCCATGGTCCTAGCTGATAAGGTGGTGATCAGCCAAAGGTTGGACTGGATCTCAGAGGTCTTTTCCAACCTAAATGTTTCTGTGATTCTGTAAATTCGAGAGACAGATAAGAACTATATAAGATAACGGAAAATATTAGCTGATGTGCAAGTAGGTATGAAGTGGCCATGAATAAACTTCCAGTCAGAAATTAGGTGGCAGTTATAAATCATCAAAGTCCTGACACAGTCCCTCCACTGGAAAAATGATGAAGAAATTTAGCTAGTTTGAACAAGAAGCTTCTTTAATGTATACATTAAAAAAAAAAATAGAACAAGAAGGAGATCACATTGTCCACACAACAATAAGAAACCTAACACAATTCCAGTCTCATACAAATACACAAAATGCTGAAAATTTGCAGAGGATTCCAAGATACACTGTAACTGCAGCATGGTGGTCTTCCAGGTTTTGTATAAAAACTCATCTTAAGCAACTTAATGTCAATTTATAATCTCATGATCTCCCTTAATAAATTCAGACACCCACTAATAAAGAACACCATTTATTGTTCCACCATTGTTTAGTATAATCTGCTCTACACTGCCACAATTTTTAATTTGTCATGCTGCTGGCTAGACAAGGCCAGGCCCAACATACCAGGGGCACCTCTGTGTTTCTTGAGTTCTGCTCCTCCCCACTGTGTTTGCAGTATTTTAATTAGAAGAGAAGCTGCTTGTAACAAATGCAAGAACTGAAGTGCTGGGACTATTGAGTCAGTGAATAAAAATTGCTGGCTGCTGCAGGAATTAATTTATAAATTGGATAGAATATGGCAGCATTTAGTGGACAGAGTAACTGCCCTTCATTCACTATTGTTCAATCATGATGATCTGCAGTGGCA